CTGAATTCAAATCCTGCTGCCCCCACTTGCAAGCCACTTTTCCTCTCTATAAAGTGGAGAGTAAGCGTACCTTCAGTGCCGGTCACCTGTGGGTGACACAGGCGAGGCCGGCCTTTCCTGTCGCAGACCATGGCTGTTACTAGCACAGTTGTTTCTTGCAAGGCGTCTGCACCTCCCAGTCTAGCCCTGGGCTCTGGCATTGCTCAGCCCTGTGGCAGCCAGGGCCAGTGGCTGGTCCGGTTACTGTCCATCTTAACAAGGCCATTAACACAGGCTCGTCTGCTGCAGTAACTCTGTATAAATAGGACGGGAGCTGAGACACCCCAGCTGCGCCGTCCCAATCCAGACGGAATCTCCCAGCACTGGCCTGTCTGAGGTGGGTGGCCGCCACGTGGTCGGCATCTGGGCGCCATCCATGGTTATGGCAAACCCAGATGGGTGCATCCCTCCCATGGGCGTCCCGATGTTCTTCCAAGTGGGGCCTGGCTGTGGAGGCAGGCTCAGGGTCAGCTCAGCTTCTCAGGCACCTCAGCGGTCCAGGCCTGGGGCCAGGAGACTCCTCATGACCACCTTCATTACCCCCAATCACAGTCAAGAAACTGAAGCCACCCAGCTGGGAAGTGGCAAGGCCAGGGTTCCAAGTCTCCTGGCTCCATGCCCCCCCCCACACACACACCACTGCTGCCCGTCCCGTGGCAGAGCTAGCAGGGCCTTCAGGCCTGGGTGGGCCCAGTGACGGCGGGACCTGGGAAAGATATGCCACGGTAAGTGCCAGGGAGGCAGAGGTGAGGAGATGGGAGATGTGGAGAGGTAGCCGCAGTGTAGTTGTGAGGCCTCCTGGAGAGTGTTGACCCTACAGGGGAAAGTAGGCAGGGAGAGCCACAGCCTGGGTACCTCCGGGTCCAGCTGTGCCCCCATCTTGCCTCACTGGCTGCCAGGCACCAGAAGACCTGACTGGGGTAAACGAAGGCCTGACGATATGGCGGGACAGACCTGTGTTCAGTCCTGCCTCGGCCACTTCCCAGCTCTGTGGCCTCACGTGGGTGAAGCACCTCTCCCAGCTTTAGTTTCTGCGTCTGTAAAAAGCAAGATAAAACCTCTCTGGCAGCTGTGTTATTGTTATGATCCCGTAATTTGGGCAAAGCTCTTAGCTTAGGACCTGGCACGTAGTAAGTGCTCCGTTTTGTTATTACTTAAATATTAAATTAATTTGATTAAATATTAAATTTTAGGGTGAAGTGGGCGGGAGATACAGGCTTCCAGTTGTGGGATGAATAAGTCACGGGAGTAAAAGGCACAGCAGGAGGAATATAGTCAGTGATACTGTGACAGCATTGTGACAGATGGTGGCTACACCTGTGAGCACAGCATAATGTATAAACTCGTGAGTCACTGTGTTGTACACCCGAAACTAATGCAACATTGTGTGTCCACTACACTCAAATAAAGTAGTTAAAAAAGGAAATAAATACTGGATTTTAAAAATATTTATGAAAATATTATTTCTGTATTTTACTATTATCAGCACTTGACTCTCGGTGTCTCTATCTTCACCTACAAAACGGGGGTAGTAATGCACTTCGCAAGGTTATTGTGTGGCTTACCTAAAATGCCTTCATTCATGCAGTCTTTCATTCAGCTAGTGTTTACCAAGGAGCTCCTGCGTGCTCTCTTGCAGCTGCTGGGGACTGAGCTCTGGAGCAAGACCCGCTTCCTGCTCTGATGAGTTTTAAGCCTGATGAGGGAATCAGACGTTAAATACACAAGTGATACAAATAAGTCTCGTATTGCATTTGTGAGCCTGTATGTGGTGCCTGAGCACAGTGCAGGCACAGGGCAAGTGGGAGGTGACTCTGCTTATGATTTCATTACGGTTTAGGCTTTTAAATATTTCCAGTTATGGGCCAATAACAATGCTGAAATGATTTCCCCTGGATTTGCGCAGAATGAACTGTAAAAGATTTGCTGCCTTTGGGACAGTTTCTGTTGCGGGACTGAAAGGATGTTTAGATGGAGCTTCTGTGCAGGCATTACCAAGGCTCGAGGTCTGCCCAGGTTGCTGGGGACAGGCCTTTTTGGGGAGCCCCCCCCGCTCAATCCTCAGCGTGTCACGGTGTTGGCCTGTACTCTCAGGCCCTGGGGGGTAGACAGATGTTGGAGTCTGCATATTTTGTGGAGGGGGAAATTAGCCCTGATGGAGTAGTGAGCTCCCTGGGCCCCCCCAGGGTGCAAGCGGGCACTGGGGGCTAGAAATGGTGTGCCACCCCCTTAGAAGGAGAGCATCTCCTGGCCTCCCTTTGCATAACAGGGACCTGAGAAGAAGCAGAGGCGCCAGCTTCAGTCCTCAAAGGGCAGCACAGAGCAGGCCTTCCAGGATGAGGGTGTTATTTGAGAAAAGCCGATTCCCCATGTGTTTCTGAGGCCAGTGAGTGGGTCGGAACACAAGCGCTGGAGCCAGACAGACCTCGGCTCCACTCCCACACACCCGCTGTGAGGCTTAGACAGGTCTCTTAATTTCTCTGAGCTTTCGTTATCTCCTCCACCCTCAGGGGTTGATGGCAGGGTCACATGGGTAAAGAGGTAAGTTCCCAGCTTGTCGTGGGGCTTCCGGAAGCCCCCGTCCTCCGCCCACCCCTTCCCTTATCCTGCTCCCCAGAGTCTCTGCTTCTGGCTGAGCCTTCGTTCTGCCACTCAGTCGGCCTGGTTCAAGTCTGCACAGATTTTGCAGCTAGAACAGAGGTGCCACGTGTCCCCTATCCTGCCACCTCATGCTCGGCACCAGAGGATACTTTTTGCTGTGGTTGAAGCGGTAATGGGATTTTCAGGATTGCCTCCGCTGAATCCTTGGGGAGGTAACTGAATTACATTTTTAAGAAGGGAGAGGCAAAACAAGATCCAAAGAGAGAATCCATCTGTGGATTTCAACCTACAAAACTTGGAGCTTCCATACTAGGGAAATTATTTCTAATTATTAAAATTTTGGAAACATGGTGCCACTAGAAAGAAAGGAAGTAGAAATGGCTCCAATTAGAAGTGCTAGCATATGTTTCTATGATTTAATGGTTTCCCGTAACAATGTGTAGCTATTTTTAAAGCAGACGGATGACTCATGGTATCCAGCACCAGTGGTCCACTGTGATGGCAGGAAGCTTGTGCTCTGGGGAGGCAGGCTTGGGTTCGACTCCTACCTCCATCATTTACCAGCTGTGTGGCCTGGAGCAAGTTATGCATCCCCTCTGCATTTCCTTTTCCTCCTCTATAAAATGGGTTATTGTAAGGATTAATAAGATAATGCATGTATGAGTCAGTGCAGTGCTTGTCCATCCATGCAAAAAACCCCACTTTTATATCAAATACTGGGTTAACTATATTTGTCATAATTCTTAGTAGTTTAATAGTAAACTTTTAAGGCTATAAATTTTCCTCTGAGTACCACTTTGGCAAAATTCATACAGTTTGATATATAATGTTCTTACTGACATTATCTTCAAATAGTTTGTTTTATATTTTTTGCTTTTTCTTTGATCTGAGAGTTGCATATGAGTGTGTGTGTGTGTGTGTGTGTGTGTGTGTGTGTGTTCTAATCAGTTAGAATTCTTTCTATATTTATTGTTAAATCCTAGATGTATTGTAGTAAGGTCAAAGCATGTGGGTAATACAGCATTTACTTTTTGGAACTTACTGAACATTTCTTTATAGTCTAATATAGAACCAATTTTTGTAAGTATTCCATGGGTATTTGAAAAGAATGATTATTTTCATTTATATAACACAAGCTTGTTAATTTCATTACTCAATATCCATATATGCACAGATATGTATATATACCTGCACATGCGTATATATTTTTGTAGTTATACACATGTGCCCACAGCTGCATGCATGTGAGCATGCACAAGTGCGCACACACACACACACACACACACACACACATTCTGGAAGAGACATGCCAAAGGCTCCTTCTGTGATTGTGGCTTTGTTGAACTCACTTCATTTCTGGCAGTTTTTTGCTTTGTATATTTTGATGCAGTGTTGCTTTGTGCATAGAAATTTGTACTCATTAGATCTTCTCAATCAACTGTGCTTTTCATTAATATCAGTTCCTTCTCTTCGCCTTGTCCAGTGTTTTCTGCCTTGAATTCTGCTTTATATTGCTACTCCTGTTCAGCCCACCAGTATCATAGATGTAGTGGCAGTGCTTACAGAGGGCTGCTGGGACGACATCCCATCCGTTGTCCACGCACACCGCCAGAGAGCCTGAGGTGTGGATCATGTTGTACAGCCAGTCCTCCTCTCCCATCGCTGGCCGAATCCCAGCTGGGGTGATGCCAGGAGGCTGTGCCAAGGCTCACCACTGGCCTATCATAACCATGTTTTCATATCACACATTACTTTCTTATTAAACGCCCTCAAGAAAATTCTCTATCTAGCCTTAGTTCTTTGTACCAAGGACTATTGCCTTTTTTTATTTCTTCTTTTAGTTAATTTGTGATTTTGGGGTGTGTGTGTGTGCATGTGTGTTTGTGTGTGTGTGTGTAGATAGAAAAAGAGGCAGACACATAGCTAAGTGAATAAATAAAAAACCGAATTCAGTCCAAATGGGCATTGTCCTGGATAGGACACCTTAGATCTATCCAATGCTATCGGTGAAAAATACAAGTATCTGTCCCTTTCATGTCCTGTTATTTTCCAGTTGGGTTACAGGTAAAAACCCTTGTGGCTGGAGAGTATATGAACTTCTCACAAGATTTTAGCATCTTCCCAGCTAAATCTTCCCAGCTAAAATCTTCCCGGCATTCATTTTGGTTGTCACTCAGAAGCTTGATTGCAGTGGAGCAGTCTATGTGAGAAATTAGTAGTCAGGATTGGAAGTCAGAATAGTATCTCGGTTTTCCATAAGTCACCCTTTATACCTTCTAGCACAGCAGTGCTGTTTTGTGCTATTTTGTTCTGATTCATGATGAGTGCCCACCATTACTAAATACCTTCTTTAATTTTAGGGATCTATCTTCTGGATTTAATCTACATTGATTCTGCATATCCTGCCTCGGGCAGCATCATGGAAAACGAACAAAGATCCAATCAGATGAACAATATTCTCCGAATAATCGCTGATTTACAAGTTTCCTGCAGCTACGGTTAGTACCCCTGGTTGCTGGAATTGTGAAATCTTACATCACTGAAATTTGGATTCAGCACCTTATCAGTGAGAAAGCTCTAGAAAACTCTACAAAGCTCTTCATTCTAATATCTTGAACATCCAACATGTCCTGGACCCTTTACCCACAGGCTTGATCCTCAAAGACTAGGAAAACTAGTTGTTCTCATCTCTGTGTTACAGACAAGGAGACTGAGGCTGAGAATAGTTCAGTTGCTTGTCTAATAAGATCACACATCTGGGGAACCATGGGGCCCAGGTCTTTCTGGCTCCCAGGTCATTCATCCATGAAGAGCTTTGTGGGCAGCCCCTTGGCAGCTCTCCTCCAAGAGGATTCAGGGACCTGGGTTCCTTCATGTTGTGGCTCCACCATGTCCTATGGCCTCAGGGTCCACTAGTGGACTCTGCATCCATCTGGCAGATGCAGGAGGAAGAGAGAATCATACAAGAGTAGGTTTTACAGACCAGATTTGTACATGGTGCTCATCACTTCTGCTGGGGAGACTAGGAAGTGTAATCTAGCTGTGGGCCTAGCAGAAAAAGGGAGCTGACTTGGTAAAAACTGGCCAGGCTCTGCTATACATGACCGGATCCAAAGTATGACCAGTTGTCAGAGATGAGGTTGAGGAACAGAGAAGTCAGAACGCTGGGTGGGCCATCCATGCAGATGTTGATTTTACCCAGGATGACAGTGGACTCGGGGGTGTGGAATGCAGCTGTGAGCGAGATGTCCACGTTCCCCAGGAAGGGGCAAGAATGACCGGGGCGCCAGCTGGGAGGAGTCAGCAATGAAGAGGGGAGTAGGTGGTAGAGCTGCAGAAATGTGCCTCTGCGGAGCAGGGTTCTCACAAGCAGGTGGAGGAGTAAAAGTCTGGAAGCAGCAAAGGGGGACAGGAAGGAAACCAACCCCACGTGCAGTACAAGGGCATGAGAAAACTAACAACTTCCGTTTGGGAGGGCCACAGGGAAGCCAGGGTGTGGTTCTGTGGGGTGGGCTTGCTGAAGCAGAAGCCACCCACCCCCTGCCCCAAACCCCTGCACAGGTGCTTCCAGATCAGCTGTCCTGACTGGAGGAGAAGCGAGGGGTCCAGACTCTCCGTACAGTCCTCCCCTGCCCAGGCCCTTTCCGTTCACAAGTAAGTCAGCACTCACTGTCCCACTGTCCTGCAGGGTGATTACACACACGGCTTTGGGGTCAGACAGACTCGGGCTCACATCTGAGCTCTGCCTTCTGAAAAGTCACTTCCTCGTCTCTAAGTGTGAGGTTTTCTCATAGGTAGAAATGGGGACATAATGCATGCAGAGGCCTTAGCACATCCAACATTTCATTAGAGCTCAGTAAATCCTCGTACGACTGTCACCCTCATTCAGATGTCATCAGCTTCGTGAAGCAGGTGTCATTATCCCCAGGACGAGAACACTGAGGCTCTAGAGAAACAGAGTGACCTGTTCCAAATCTTGCAGTTAAGGGGCAGGGCCACCAGGAGCTCCTCACAGCACCTGGGTGCACGTCCCCAAGTGTGAGGGGCCCTCCCCACCCCCTTTCTGCTCTTCACAGCCCCCTTTACTGCCTCCCCCTCTTCCTTCAGCTTGCTCTGTCCCACCCCGTGAGCAATGGCAGAGAGGACCCTAGAGGATTTCTGACCCCCTTGGAGTGCAGGGACCGTGAAAGTGTGTGGATGGTATCTGGGACAGAGGTGGGGTACAGTGTGGCCGAGGAATCCGGTGACAGGGTTGAAACCTGGCTCTGCCACGTCTCAGTGATGTGATCTTTGCCAGCTGCCATAGTTTCTTTCTCTGTGCAGTGGCCATATTATTTCCCCCAAATGAAGGAGGTGTGACAGTTAAGTAGATGCCTTCTGGAAACCACCTGGTACATAGCCTGGTGCAGAACAGGTGCCCAGGCGTCTAGGCCCCTCCCACTCTTCCCAGGATGGAGCAGCTCCAGCCCAAGCTGTGCTAGGACCTGGGTTGGACCTCTGCACAGGCTGGATGGGGTTTGTTCATTCATCTCTCATTCTTGTCATGCAGGGGATGGGAGGTTTGCCCAGTTTCCCCAATGGAAACCTGTTTAAAGGCACAGACACCCAGCTCTGGTCTGTTCTGGGGGCCTTTCTCTCCCCAGCCAAGGAGCTGTGGTGACTTCAGGGTCTGTGGTCTGTGGCCCAGCCATCTGAGAGGTGGGCACTCCTTGAGGGCAGATTGAATCAGTGATTCCTACACTTCTCATTCAGGGTTGGGGAGAGACTGAAGCCTGTGGGTTCTGTCCGTGTGTTGCAGATCACCTCACAACCCTGCCCCATGTGCAGAAGTACCTGAAGTCTGTACGCTACATCGAAGAGCTCCAGAAGTTTGTGGAAGATGACAACTACAAGTGAGTGCCCGCTCTCTCGCCTCCTGTCCCCTTTGGGACCAGTGAGCTGCCACCTGCAGGGCTTGCAAAAGGTCACCGCAGCAGCACCCATAAACCAGCACACACGAGCACAAGCACGTGATGCGACCTCTGGCCCCAGCCGCCCAGGCCCTGTAGATCTGAGGACATTGTTCTGTCAGTTCCTCGGCCTGGCTTTCCCACATTGCATGGGTAGCATGAACTTGGACTCCACGGCTGTGCGTGGTGCAGGCTTTGTGCTCTGGGTCCTCAAAAGTGACTCCCCCCACCCACCCCTGCTCACAGCGCTGGGTGGAAGGGCAGCACTCAGGCCATGCCTCTAGGCTGACAGTTCTTCGAGAGCCTGTTTCGTGGACGAGGCAGCTCCCTGCGGCCCCAGCTTTCTGCAGGACTCTCACCATCTGGCAGTGGCTGAGGCCCCATCTCCATCCCACGCAGCCCTTTGGAGCAGACTCGGGTCCCACAAAGACCCCATGGGCCCTTTGTCTTCATCTTCCCCTCACCGTGCTCTGGCTTTCAATTGGTTCTTCATTTGCGGCACCTGGGGATTTATCCAGCATTTCTACGTATTTAGAGGGAGAAGGAGGATTTTTCAGATCAACTCTGTCTGCCACATTGATTGGCTATCCTCCTGGCTCATTTTGAGCTTGAGGCCAACCAAGAGTCTCAGTACTTTTCGTATTACCTGATAAATCAAGGCAGATCTCAGCCATCTGGTAACTGATCATTTCCCCCTAAATGCCAACTTTATATATATTCTTTCCAATCTCATCTTATTGGCTGCTTCTGGGTGTCATGTTCCTTGGAATCCCATTATCCAATATATATATTTTTTCTCTCTTCCAGCTTTGTATCGGAAATTTGACCAGTTCGATTACTCGGTCTTCATCAAAATCACTGAAAATTGTAGGGAACTGTGGCCACTAGAGACCCCTCTGGTCACTCCTGATGTGCTCACTAGGACCCTGGGGACGGCTGTTGAAACAGCTCCACATCTGGCCATGTCTACAGTAGTGGTTCTCCACCTTCAGTGTGACTCAGAATCACCTGGGAAGCTTTATAACCATCCATATGTTTGTGGTGGAGCCTGGAAATTTGTATTTTTTCAAAGCTCCCTGGGTGGTTCTAATAATTAGCCATCTTTGGGAACATAGACATAATGTCTTTAGTTGTTATTGTATAATATTTTGTTAGAGCAGAGGATAATATGAAATTGTGATCTATTACATAATAGGAACAACAACAGATGAAGGCCAGAGATTACCATTAAAATTATGTTTGCCACAAATTAAGCTCATTTTGCTTACAAAGCATTTGCTGTTCCTGAAAAGAGTACCCCAGAGTATGAAATTATTCCCACTTAGGTTCTGGGATAATATTTTCAATTCATGTGTCTGTAGTACAATTAAAGAGACAGCAGTTTTTCATTAACACTAATATCCTTTAAGGAGAAGAATGGTCTATAAATACTTTTGACCATGAGATAATCCTTGGACAAGCTGCAGGTCATGAGTAATTACTCCTTCCATTCTGAAGGACACTGAACACCCCCTGCGCTTACTGCTAACCAGTCAGCCTGGATTTTACAAAGGGCCTTTGTTGTGGTCCAAGTGGGCAAACCAAGGGAAGATGCCTGCACTCTCCCCACCCAGGGCCCGGACCATGGATGGGTTCCCTCTCCAGGGAGGCCCCAGCTCTGAGTGACACAGGACATGCAGGGCTTGTGATTCTGCTTGAGGAACCCATGTCCGATGGCCCAACTCATGTCCCAAAACTTGCTCCCCACCCAAAAGGATGCAGTGGCTTTGTTATTACCTGATGATGGAGCATTTCTGAAAACCCTCCCCCATCCGCTTGGGAGATACTGTGCCACGGGCCCCAAACAGTGCTTATTTTTCTCGACTCTTTGTCCGTTTTATCTTACTTAAGAAAAATTACCCCAATTCTTACCACTTAGAAAGGATGACCTTTAACATTAAGTGAACATAATTCTGGACATTTTTAATGCATAGGAAGTACATAGAGACACAGAGAAAGATGGACAGATGGTTGGATGGAATGATAGAACTTACTAAAATTGGATCATGCTACACTTGCTATTTTTAATTGAAAGTATTTTAATTTAACCAGAAAAAGGAGCTGAAATAAAATGTAAGGAATTAGCTGCTCTTCAAATAAATATTTCTTCAGCACAAGAGATATAATTTCCTAAAAAAGCCTTGTAAGATTACTAAGAGAGGTCAGGAAAAACATGAAGAGGTTTGAGCCAGTGAGTCCTGTTTTAACCAGGTCTCCACTGTGCACAGGGTCAGCTGACTGGTTACGAAAGATGAGAACGTCAGCCCTCTCCCCCGCCTTCACCTCCCCTTCACCATCTTCCAATTTTTTGTTAGTCGTGTTATTATTACTACACAGTCCAAGTTTATAGCATACACATTATGTTCAGGAACCATCATTCCTACTGGTTAGTGTTTTTAAACAGATTTAATTCTTACCACCTGTGTTCTTCCACAGCATTTCCATTCTTGAAGTCTTTATTTTAACAACTCCCTTATTTAGCTGGATTTCCCCATGAGGCAGGCTTTCGAAAGTCCTGCACGCTCTGATTTCCCTCATGAAAACGTCCGCATGTGATGGCCTCACCTCACAGCCCTGCGCGCCTCCGCGCCTCTCCCCCAGCACTTGCAGACCCTGCTCCCGTTGCCTTCTGACACCGGATGCTGCTGTAGAGAAGTCTGAGCAGTCTGATCCTTTCCTCTTGTAAGTGACTTGCTTTATCCGCCTGGTGGGTGAAGGATTCCTTGGAGTTCAAAGGCACAACAAGAGGAATGGTTCAGAGTGGAGTGTTCTGTACCAAATTTCTCTGGAACATGGCATGCCCTTTCTTCATTTCAGAGGGATTCTTTGGGTTATCTCTGATGTCTTCTGTGCCATTTCTTGGGTTTCCTCTTTCAGGGATTCGAGGCATCCATATGTTGGGTGCTGTCTGCCTTCCATGTCCCCTAGCTCCTTCCTAGAAGCTATAATCTCTGTCTTTTCCTCACAGATGCTCAGACAATCTGTCTCTACTTAGATATTCATCTGATCCTTGATTGGCCCCCTAGGACCCCAGTCTCCCTTTCCATGTTACTCCTTTGTGTCATCATCTCATTTTTCAGGTCTTGCTTTATTCAACCCATGTTCCAAATAAGCTGTTCTCCTGCTCAAAGCACTTGGGGGGATTTCCTTGTATCTCTGGGGGCTGCCTCCTGGGCTGAGCGATGTGGATACTGCTCTATTCCTTTTTCTTTCCTTTTTTTGTGTGAGAGGATGTTTGCTAGGTTGCCGTACCATTTCTTTTTGTCTTCCTCCCATTTGAGAAGCTCCATCTGGATATTCCATGGCTTGGATGGAGGGAGGTGACATCTGGCCCTGCTCCCATGTATGTGAGGTGGGCTGGCTTTTCCTCCTGCCATGCTGTAAGGTCAGGGTGCTTTGTCTTTACCTTCTTCTGTAGCCTGGGGGGGATGCAGGGCTCAGACTCCCACCGAGGCAGGGAGCACGCAGTGTGTTTTAGATGTGGGGGCTCTATTAAAAGGCCTGTATCAGGGTTTCCTCCACCTCATTGGGGGCTGCATCCCATTCCAGAAAGGGGCGCCCTCAGGTTTCAAATCACCCCCTCAAGGGAACCTTCATTTCTGCTAGAGTATCCACCATGCTGTCCACTCATTTCATCCATTTCTTGCCAACATCTGAAGAGGGAGAAAAGTAGGGACTCTTGCTCAGACCTACTGAGAAGCCTCAGAGGGCAGGATACTGGAGCCCTGCTATGTCACACCTCTTGGTCAAACTCCACAATTCTCCTTTTCTTTCCTTGGCTGCAAGTTTCTGAAGTTCATGGCTTCAGTTCATGCCCCTTTTCTTGTTGAGTTGCAGCTGGTAAATTCTACTCCTAAGCCTTTCTAATTATTTGTTGGTTTTGTTGGGAGAGGGGGAGTCTGGCATCTGGCTTCACTCCACCATTTTCACCCAGAGATTATTAATCAGTACTTAAAGGATAATAATAATAATAACAAATTATATTAATATAGTAATATAATATAATATCTTAATTAATTAATAATATAATATAATAAGAATTGAGGTGCCAGTCCTCATAACACGTCCATTGCCTTGTGCCTTTCTGGGGCCTCTGAGAAGGGGGTGTAGTGTAATGATTAAAAACCCTGATTTCAGGTCAGACAGTCCTGGGTTGGATTGCCTGCCCTGCAACTTGCTAGCCCATGAATTTGGGGAAGCTACTTAACCTTGCTCCTGCTGTTTCCTCATCTGATAGAAGGAGACAATAAATGTACCTACTCCCCAGGCTTGTCTTGAGATCTGGAGCAGACCCCAAAGGGCTCCTGGGCTCTGAGACTCTAGCCCTTAGCAGCAGTCCTGTCTCCTGAGTCCAAACCCACATGTGTTCAGTCCCCCTCTGATATACCAGAGCCCCTCTGATCTCATGAAAATCTTTGTTTCCAGACTGTCACTCAGAATTGAACCGGGAAGCAGCTCTCCGAGACTGGTCTCTTCCAAGGAAGATCTCGCAGGTACTGTAACCACCTCGAGTGGGGACATACCCACTAATGGCCCAGGCATGGCTGCCGGGGCTGGCCCTGACTGTGACATCAAGGGCCCAGTTGAGTTGCAGGTTGGCGGACTCCACGGTCCTAGCAGCCCTTGTATACCAACCTTCCAGGCTCCTAATCCATGGGGCCCCTGTGGGTCACCTCTGGGCTGGGGCTCCCTGAAAAAGCCTGGGACCCAACAGCCCCAAGAGAGGCCAGATCAGAACCCCAGGTTGGGAACAGGCACAGGTAGAGAAAACCTTAGGTTCTTCTCCAAGTCACCTGGGCCCTTAACATTGGGCCTGCTGCCCAGGCTCGGGTTGATGTGCCCTGGAGGGGGGCTGGTGCACGGGATGCCTGGGGACTTGGTGCCTCCAAACACAGATGGCTCACCCTCCTGGAACATCAGCTTTATTCACGTATTTGGGACATACACACAGTGTCCCTAGTGATTAAGGGGGTTGGGGACAGGGTTCCCATCAGAGGGATGTAGGTAATAGCAGCAGGATTCTAAAGCAATTGTTGAGGGCCATAGAAGGAATGGTAGCAAACACTAACCATTCAAGACTTTCTTCAGGAGGTAATGCCAAAATTCTGGAGCAGAGTGGGCTCAAATCAAAAGCTTTCTGCCCTTGAGTCTCCTTCAAATTAGTCTGAGTAAGAGGCCTTTGCCACCTTATCTCGTTAGCGTGCCTTAACAGGATAAGCCAAGTCTCTGGCCTTCCCTGCGTGCCAAGAAGCCCCCATAGTCACACTTTCTTTCTACCCTTCGGACAGTGCCAGAGGGTTCATCTCCTAGGGCCCCTTCCTGCTGCAGGCTTCCATTACTTCTGCCCCTGCTGGGTCTGACCCGTCCCCACTTCCCGCTCCATGCATGCGGGAGCCATTGAGCAGGGAGTGATGGGAGGGCCTGCTGTGAGCCCGGCCCTTACAGTGAGCCAGGTGCGGGGGGAACAAGGCAAAGACCTGCCCACATGGGGCTTAGGCTTTAGCAGGGAGACAGGCAGCAAAGCCACTGGGGGTGGGGGGGGCAAGGCGTGGCACAGGAAGAGAGATGGCCGAGGGAGGGTCTTAGCCTTGCCTTGAGGGAAGGCTAAGACCTCTGCCTCTCTCTAGCACCTCTCTCCATCCACAGCCCAAACTCGAGCCTCCTCTCTGCCTGAGAGAAGTGAGGCCTCTGGAAATTTCTCCAGTCAGGCCTCTTGCACATGCCTTGAATGCCTTTCCCTCATGTTTCCATGGTTGGCTCTTGCTCATCGTTCTAAACTCAGAGAGACTTTATTTCAGCTCTTCGTTTCTTTATGACACCCCCATTTGTAATTATTCTCTTTGTTCACTGGGCCTCACTTAATGGGTCACCGGATGGGTCACGGGTTGAGTCTCCAGCACCTGGCATAATGCTTGTGCTCTACGGATGCTCGAGCCTCCCCGGGTTCATGGATGAATGGATGAAAGGAAGGAAGGACCAGGCTGAGGCTCCAGGGGGGCCTTTGATACATACTAGCCTGGAGCACAAGAAGGGTCTTATTGCTGGAGCCTCATCCCTGAGCCTCAGAGAGCCTCCTCCTCCCCAGTGCCCTGCACACCCACCTGCAGCCCAGGCAGCCTTGCCTCCCAAGCCTCAGCCATGGCAGCAGAGGCCTCACCTTCCCCCAGGCATCTGTCTGACCCAAATGGTCCCTTCAGTTGACCAGCACCTGCCTCACTACCTCCTCCCTGAAGAAGAGACCAGGGCCCCATCTGTGCCCCCAGCCCAGTTCTGCACTGAGCACCACCAGCTCCTCCTGCTAGGCCAGAGGTTGTAGACCAGAAGCCAGGCTCAGAAAACTAACACTGCTAATTGGGGGCCTCAAGAACTGGCCCTCTCACTGAGCCCCGGGCAGGAAAGGAGGAGCTGTACCGACTTTTGACCCCTGCCTACGATGGAAACCAGGGCCTGGGAGCCAGGACCCGGCCCCTGGCCCAGCCTCCTCCGGGTCCACCAGACTTTCCTGTTTTAGCCACTGTCCCCTCCGTCGGCTCTGTCGTTTATTAGCCATGTGAGGTCAGAACCCAGCAAATTAACCAACTGCCACATCAGTCAGAATCCCGGCAGGAAAGAGAATTACTCCCCCCACCCCACCCCAGCTCATACGAAGAGACTTGAATGAAGCTGAAATGGGAATTATGTAAAGAATAGTGAGTCACCGGCACCTGTAGGCTGAGGGACCTGGGAAGGAAAAAATGTCACCAACTCCAGTGATCGCTGAGCTGAGGAGGACTTGGCTTCTGAGGGAGCAAACAGAACAGTGGCATACCTGCCAAGCCTCAGTTTCTCCATCTATAAAGACCATAATGCCTCCCTCCCATGGTGGTTGTGGAAATTTATTGAGACCACGGGTGTGAAACCGTCCAGTGCCTTATACACAGAACACTGTCATCAAGTGTAACTTTACTAGGATGATGTGATTGTCATCAGTGTTATGATTGTGCCTCTGTCACTGAATCAGCCTTCGGCTTTTCATGAAATGTCACTGCCTCAGGGGTGCTTTCCTCCCACCAGACCCCCACCCTCCTGGTCAGGCCCCTGTTACACCAGGGTTGGCAAACTGTGGCCCACATCCAGCCCGCCCCTGTTTTTGTATTGGAGCACACCACACCCATCCGTTGACATATTGTCTGTTTGCTTTCCATGACAGTGGCAGAGTTGAGTGGTTGGGACAAAGACCCTATGGCCTCCAAAGCCTAAAATATTCACCATCTGGCTTTTTGCAGAAACTTTGCCAACCCAGTGTTCCACACTCTTGCTGAGCCGGTCTGTACTTCTCCACAGCACTTCCCCCTGTGGGGATTAAAGCGTTATCTGTGCATATTTGTCCCACGTCTGCCTTCCCCAACGTAAGGACCCTGCCTGGCATCCCCAGAGCCTGGCACACAGAGGCCCTGGGGAAATAGCCACGCTTGCCTGTCCTCGCCTCTCCAGCCTGGCCTCTCCAGCCCGGCCTCTGAGCTCCTGGCCAGACCCTTCAGGCGCTGGGCTCTGGGAGGCAGCTCCAGGGCTGCCGACTGCTGACTCCACACTCCCTTCTGGGGAAGTGCTGATGCAGCACTTTCACACAGTGGTGCGAGCCGGCTCACAGGAGTGTTTTCCACCAGTTTTCCAAAGCCCTGCCTGGCTCCCGCCCTGGGAGCAGGATGTTAAGGTTTTCATTGATCACCAGAGGGCCCGGGAGTGTCTGGAAGGCTTCCGACGCGCTCAGTGGTCCTGGCTTCCCACCCTCAGCCTCGAAGCCTCTCCGAAGACAGAGAGGCGGGTACCGCTGCAGCCTGGGACAGCCGACGGGTCCTGTGGAGGGCGGGACCAGAGGGGCAGTTCCCAGGAGGCCTTCCCCCATCTGGCAATCAGACCAGGCTGCGTGGCAGGAGCCCGGTCAGGCCTAGGGACAGGAATGTGCCTCTTGCAGTCCCAGGAATGGGAGGAACGCAGCCTCCCTCAGCTCCTCGGGATGGGGGTTTAAGCTACAGCTCTGGGTTCCCTTTCCAGCAGTCAGGCACCCGCCCCACACCTGCCAACGAGAGGACCCGAGATGCCTTCATTGGTTCGTGCACTCAGGATATCCAGGCCAAGGGCCTGCTGTGACAGGCCCTTGCAATGAGCCAGGTTCCCAGTGGAATGAGGCAAAGACCTGCCCGCATGGAGCTCAGGCTCTAGCAGGGAGACCGGCAGCAAAAGCCATGAGGGGGCAAGGAGGCATGGCACTGGAAGGAGCCGGAGGAGGCCAGTGTGAGCAAGACCAAGATAGTTGGTGGGCTCCCTGACCCTTCCGTGTGGCTGTGCCCGCTTCTCTCGCCAGCTCGCCTGCCTCAGGCGCTGAGACCTGCTGACCCAGCACCGGGAGGAGCCGGGACTTGGGTCTCTCAGAGGGCTTGCTTAATGTCAATGTGGCCCCGGGCTGAGGCTGTGCCCTTCATGTCTGTGATGGCCCCTGCGCCCCACAGAGAGCTGCCCACTCTCCACCCTGGGGAGTGGCCGTGCCGGCAGCCCCGCACCAACAAATAGACTGTGAGAACGGAAATGGAGAAACCTTCTCAGTTTCTGGGCTGTGGAGGAGAGAGGGCCAGGAATGCCACGTTTTCAGTCCCCATCCCCCCTGGATGTAATGTTTCGTTTATATAAATGAACTAATATTTTCCTGGAGAGCAAAAATCATAAAGAACGTTGACCCCCAGAGGGAGCAAGTAATGTCTGTGTGTGCCTTGGAACCGATGAAGACATTTCCAGATTCTGTGAGCCCCGCCTCCTTGTGGCTGAACCAACTGACAGGTTTTCTCTCAAGAGTCCTTGGCAGCAAAGCAAGGCCATGGAAAATCTCAGCACGGGCCTCAGGTTTCTGTACTTGTACCTTTAGACCTGCTCTCCACATACCTCTGTGTCTTCCCCGTCCTACTGCCTTCTGGGGAAAAGCCCTGCTTTGGAGTCAGGCAGACCTGAGTTCACGGCGCGGCTCCAGCCCTTCTCAGCTGTGGGACCTCGGGCCATCAGCTTACTCCCTCCGAGCATCGGTTTTCTCGTCGGTGACACGGCCGTAGGAATAAATACTTCATGTAGGCTTACTTCCCAGGACTGAGGCTGTGCCAGGAAAGCCCTCAGCACAGCACCTGGCACATGCCTGCCACTCAGGATCCCTGGCTCGTGGCCTGCACAGGGCAGGCTCCGATGCTGTCCTGATGGAGGGACAGCACCACACAGCCGAGAGAGCAGGAGACCGGGAGCCGGAGGGCCCTCTCCTCAAGTCGGACTCACCACTCACCAGCTGTGCCGGGTACCACCACTGATAACCAGCCACCCCAGAACCCAGTGGCACAGAACCACCGTTTTGTTACAGGCACGGGCTTTGTGGGTTAGGAAATAGGACAGGACACAGTCAGGATGACTTGTCTCTGCTTTACAGTGTCTGGGGTCTCGGCCGGAAGGACTTGAAGGCTGAGAGGGACTCAGCGGC